ATGATTTCAGAAAGCAGAGATGCTCACTACTCGATAGGGATAGTAAGAGGACAGAGAACGGACCACGTGTTTCACAGCACGGTCATCCTTACTGATCTTAGCACAAGGAGTTTGTGACGTGACGTGAGCAGGAGCCTGGCCTGGTGAGCTTAGGAAAGAATGCAGCAAGTGGGCTGCGGGTGACTGTTTGCCCAGCATGAGGCCCTGGGTTTGATCCCCAGCACAGGAGTTTTAAAAACTGCATAGCAGTAGAGATACTATGGTTGTTTCCTCTTTAAAGTTTTACTGAAAAGGAAGCAGAGAAGTGATGCATAGCTTGAACCATCAAGAAAGAGGTTTATGTCTTTTTTTCATTTTTTAAAAATTTTATTTTAAAGAGAATAAAAAAATAGCAAACTAACAAAAATATAGACAAAAACAAAACAAAGCAAAAACAATAAAAGTGATACAGGGTTTCAGAACAAAATGATAATCTTACGTCTTAAAGACGGAAGAAGTAAGAGCAGGTCTGTGTGCTGAAGGTCTGCCCCAGGGAAAGGAAAACGACGTGGGGAGGTCACGGGGTGGGCCTCGTGTTAAGTGGCCACAACCCACTCAGAACCATACACGGTATCGCAGAACAAGCCCTTGGAATAGATCCCACTGTCTTCGAGGAGTAGGTTTACGTACATGAGAAAGAAACAGAACATTTGACGTTACCGCGTCTAAATGCAAAGAGCAAGATAATAAAAATACCTTATAGATAAGGAAGGAGTTTAGAAAGAGTACGCACTAAACTTTTGGAAAACAACAGATTTTGGAAAACAAGTTGTTTGATTTGGGGATAAAATCTTGACTATTTTGAAATCCAACAACTTCTCAAAAAGTCCTTTTTAGCACTGCCCGAACTCTGTCTTTATGTTCTTTTTTTTTTTTTATTTTATTTTTGGTTTTTCTCCGGTACCGGGAACCGAACTCACGACCTTGCGCTTGCCAGGCAGGAGCTTTTGCTGCTGAGCTAAATCCCCAGCCCCTTTATGTTCTCATATATTCAAAACTCAAGCCTAGTGTCACATATCGACTTCCTTTTTCTCCCCTAAAATGCATCTGCATCAGTTTCCTCAACGGTGTTCCAACCCACCTCCCAGAACCCGAGGCTCACTGGCCGCCCTCAGTCATCTCAGCCTCTAGGAACCCCAGCCGTCCCGAAGGCACTGCTGTCTGAGGGACAGGAGGACAGTTATTAACGGTGATGCTTCAAGAAAAAGTGTAGTCCGGAAACTAGTCTAAGCTTCACTACATAACTTAACGTAAGACATCTGTCATTGTTTAAAGTGCATTCTTTCGAGTCTCTGGAATATTCAATTTTATCAGTTTATAAAATGAATTCATGTATATGTAGATTTTCGATTAAAATTTTAGTGTGTATGGCAGTAATGTTCACAGACCACAAATTTAAGAATACAAAAATATCCAGTTGGGTTTTGATGAATTATTAGTTTTCGGTGTCTCCAGCTAAGTCTAATCAATTCTTTGTTCTGGCATAAAATGCAACCTAAAAGGAGAGAGTCTAAATAGCTAATCTGCATACTAAATCATCTCCACTTATTGACCTAAGAGGTGGTAGCTCTAAAATGTCAATGGACTAAAGAGGTCATCTAAGTGCATTTAAATATTAGGTTTCTGGGAACCTTCCTCAAATATTCCAGTACAGGGCCACTGGAACAGTGCCCGGGAAGCTGCACCTTTATAAATGCGCTCACAGACACTGACATACACAAGAGCACAGACGGGACGGAGGTGAAAGGGTGGGGCATGAGGTGTTACAGAGAACGCCATTCTAAGTTCCCTGACACTCTAGTTACGAGTCTCAGATTAGTGTACCCGCTGCGTGCTGAAGCAGCCCGCTGGGGAGAACCCTAGAGTATTCGGTCCACAAATCCCTGGTTCTCAAAGTTTCCAATTCTGAAGTCGGAGGAGCAAGATAATCCTTGCTTCAGTTAGCATGGAAATCCTGCAGTTACGGAAGAGACCTGTTGTGACCCCAGCTGTCCAAAAACCTCCACCGCTTTCTGGGGTGCTTCTTTCTCTTTATAAACCCAAGCACCTCCCAAAGACATCTCTGGTCTGAGTAAACTGCAGTGCTTGAGAGGACTGGAGGTCACGGATGTAGCAACTGCCAATCTCTTTCCCAACCCAGCTTCTTCCCTAAAGAAAATGACATTAAACACCATCACCATGACTAAGAATCCTAGCTCCCTTGTCAATTTATAGAACTACCATGGAAGATTATAAAATGATCCACGATAGTAAAAAATTGCAGCTTTTTAACTGAGATGTTTTCTAATGCTACGTGCAGTGAAAGTGGCAGTAGAGCTTTTAACTGCTTATGAAGACAACTGTATTTTATTTCCTTTGTGATTGTTTTCTTTTCTTTTAAAAATGAAGATCCATGTCAAATAAAGGGTAGAAGCGAAGCATGGCAGTGCAGGTGTGTAATAGCAGCACTTGGGAGGGTGATGTGGGAGAACCACCAGGAACTTAAGGCTGCCTGAACTACATAACAAGACCTTGTCTCAAAAACAAAACAAACAAAAAACTAAGTACAGAAATTAGACATGGGGGTGCAGCTCAGGGATAAAGCACTTGTCCAGCAAGGCCCTGACAAGCTGGCACTGAAAATGTCAGTGTTGGCACTGAAAAAAAAAGAAGTAGAAATTATTTTCTATAGCCCTCGACGTATTACAGCACCACCATTAAAGTTGTCATCCACCAGACTATGAATTCATCAAGAAGTAGAAGGGAATAAAAATGATATGGTATAGTCCTTGCCCTTGCAGGGACTTGCATTCTTATTGGGTAAATAAGACAAATACATAAAAAAAACAAAACAAAACTAGTCACATCATAAGAGCCACAGAAGTTCAGGGGGTTCAAACTGGATCTTCAGACTCGCAGAGAGGAGGAGGTTAGGGAAAGGCACGAAGCAAGAGCGAACCTGGACAAGGTGCCTCGCTTACTGGGAAACTGGAAAAGCCCAGTTTAGCTGAGGTAAGGCAGTTCCTCCAGAACCGCGTTAGACGGCAGCCAGAAAGAAAACCAGGAGCCACACGAGGGAAAGAGAGCCTTACATGTCAAACCAAGGAGCCTGGAATTTGATGGCAGACCAGTACTTCAGATAGCATGCATGCGGAAGACATGGAGGATGGCAGCAGCAGACAGAACTTGGTGACAGAAAGCTGCCAAAATATCCAGGTACCGGGAGACGGCGACCCAGAGTCAGGTTCATAAAATACAACTAAACTGAATCGTACTACTGTAAGTTGGCAATATCAAGACTTTTTAGAGGACGCTATCAACATGAAATTTTGGAGGTGTGTGAAGTTACCTGACCTACCCAGTAACAACCCTGATGATAAGCAGGGCATAAACATGGAAGCTGTTCATATTTCATTTAAGACGGTATGAGTTTCCACGTCCAGCTGATTTGGCACTGTGCTTTCAAGCACTGTCCCAAAACAACTTTGGCCTAATAAAGGAGAAAAACCTAACTCCATTAACTGCGGAGAAATGAAAACAGTCGCTTAAACATTGCAAATTCCAAAAACTTGACAGAGTCATCCTTACATGCTCTAGACACCTATTATTCAAAACGCTAACAGATGGGTCCTAATTAATCACCTTACAAGGAGAAGCTCTACCACTTAGAAGTGAAACTTCCCCTATTTATCAATAGCACATGCATAAAGGAACAGCACCTGAAGAAGTCCACTTGAGTACTAAGATTCTGAATGAACAGAAGCCAAATGCCCCTCATTTATTATAAGTGACTACCTGGCAATAGAGACAAATAGTGTAAAGCTACTTCTTTTCTATTACGAATCTGAAATTTGGGGCGTACTGAGGGTGCTGACCATCCGGGTGAGTACATTTTATTACCCCACAGCCAGGGAGGCCTCCGCGGTATGTTTCCTCCACCTGAGCCGTAAAACCTTTGTTTGTGTACAGCTTCCGGGCACTGTGGAAGTCGGGTACTGCATCCCTGAGTTTTCAGTGTGACCTCGAGTTTGGAGCAACCATTGTGTATGTGCCACTGAAGCACTGGTGCTGCTGCCACTTTCTGTCCAGGCGGAAGAAGGTCTTCTTGAGAGGATGTGGCTGCATCGATATTTATTCCCTGGTCCACGTGGTCGTGAGTATGTGTAACACTCGGTATCACTAGCGGATCTTGAAAACTGAGTATTCAATAAAGCAAAGGCTCTGGACTTCTCTCACCCGCAGCCCAATCCACATAGGAGAAAATGCTCCTTGGCCCCATCCCTGTTTCTAAAGAAATCATTGTTCTCTTTACTGATTTCCACACCCACAAAACCCGTTCGGAGATCAACGTGTCATTAAGCTTCAAACCTTCTAAATTATGATTTAAGTATAATTTCTCCATAATTCAGATCTGCAACATGTAAAATAACAGTTCTGCTACTTAATCTGTTCCCATAAGGCATGCTACGTATTGGCCTGGAAGTTCTGGAAGACATACGGCAGGACACAAATGGCCCCTAACACAGTGTCACGTTAGTCTGAGCACACTGGGCTTAGTTAATAAGCTAAATGCCTAGGAAGCACAAAATTCACATCCACATTAAATATGAACATAACATTATACTTGGGGAATGACTTCAAGGTGCAAGTTTTTGTTCTTATAAACATTTATTTTTCCTCCAAATTTACTGTGTTTTTCTGTAATGATGTGAAAAGTCTTCATTTCCCTTTTCCCAAGTGTTGAAGTTCAAAAAGTCAGGTCTTAACCACAGACTAATCTTCATCTCTTCAATGTCTTGTTTGTTGATTTAGTTTCATATGTATTTATATTAGTTTTCTTCAGGGATTTATACATCGTTATATATATATATATATG